CCTTTCCTTAACCAGCTCGCAGGCCACCGACATTCAAAACGCATTGGCGCCCACATTAAATATTCCATGAATAAACTGCAGTTGGCGTAGAATATGCTTGACGGCTGACACGCGTCGCAGTGTTGAAATCAAAACCGCCACATCAGTCAAAAAATGCATACATACATACATAAGTAGTGGTGCTACGTTTTGCAACTTTTTCTTTTACTTTTAGCTTTCTCCTCTGCAATTACTGCGCTGCTGTGTGGCACGACAAGTAGTCCAACCCATTTCCTGCAGGCATTTTTTTTAGAATTTAGAAACCTAGAAGGATGCGTGCAGTGACGTGTACTCGTAGCAGTGTTGCATGCCACCAACGAGCAGTTGTTGTTACGATAAAAGCACGCGCTTACCTACTTGCTTGCATTTGGCTAAGTGTTTTTAACCCAGCTGTAAGTTGTTGCTTTTACGTTTGCAGTTGGGTCATGCTATGTTGTGTAACACTGAAAGTCGAGTATCGCTAGCAACCAAACCGACAAGGCATCTTGCAGTCGTGCCACACGTGTGGTATTTTCTTATGCTGGTGAGCGACATATACTTAGTTGGATATACTGATACTTTCATATATGTATATGTACATATGTATGCAGGTACCCAACTTGCAAAAGAATTCAACGCAAAACTCTATAATTTAACAAAGATTTTCAGAATCGTATAGCATGAATTAAGGGAGCAGATGGGTTTCAATCCCACGGCCAACAATTTTTATTTTTTAATTTTTTTATATTATTATACTTGCGTTTTTTTTTAATAAAAATTTAACTCTAAAAAATAAAATTAATAGTATGAAATAAAAGAAAGTAAAACAGAGTGTAATAAAATATTTAAATTAAATAAAAATAATAATAATTTTGGATATTGGTCGGAATAAGGATCGAACCTATCACCACCCGGCTAACACGGATGCCTAACTCACTTGATTTGTTTGGCTACCCACCAGCTAGGTGGGCTTGGTCAGTCTACTCATAGAAATCGCCCCTGATCCGCAATAATTTTGGGAACTAGATCGACGGCAGCTGATTCCCCAGATAATTTCGAATTAACGAGTTGATCCGTATCGACGCTGCCCTTTGTCTATGCTTTTAGTGAAGAACTCCGAGTTTATGGCAAAATCTTGTCGTATATCTGAGCATAATTTCAGGCGCACTCTACTAGAAGTGTTACATCTTCATCTAACTTGGCGCCTCAACTGTTTAGCGCGCAAATAATTTTGTCTTTTCCGGTAGCACTGTGTTTGAGGCCACATTGATGGAGTCTAATTAGTTGAGTCATAGGCTGTATTTGGAATACTTCCACAACGGTGACTGGTGCGAACTGCAGAATTAGAAGCCAATCGGACATATTCGACATGAGTATTCAAATAAACGCAAAGCGCAATTGGGTCGTCTAAGTTTGCCGCCCTTGATAATGTTTCTGAGCCATCAGACCATCGTCTATCAACGCAAGTTATTTTTGTGTGCAAAAGTCCTTTTCCAAAGTTATCGTTTTTTAATCTTTTGGTGAGAATTTCAATCAAGTTTGGCTTTCGTTACGTTAGTCTTTGTTCGAAAAGTTTGTTCTCATGGTTTTCTCCTCTGTTTACGCAATATACGTATGTATATGTATAGCCAACAGGTATAATAGCTTTATTTATAAGACCAAAGTTATAGATATTTCCCAACTCCAGCATTCACGCCAACAAGTCGCCAACTTTTGCTCATTGGGTACGCAAGTCTACAAGAATGCGCATGTATTTGTTTATGCATATGCGAGCGTTCACTTAAGCATGCACCTGTGCGCACGTCAGTTGTCAGTACGATTTAAGTCCACAGAATTGTGGCAAGCACCACAACTTTCGTTTCATTAGTACATTTTTCATATGACTCCCAGGCTGTAACCTCGTTTTGTTTGTAATTTTTGTTGTTATTTACTCACTCACATATACTTATATGTATATGTATATATGTTTGTTGGTTTATATTTGCGTATGCATGCAAATTGAAAGGAAAATGGCTTACCGCTAATGCCTGCCTCATCAAAGAGCGTTGCAAGGAGTTTGTTGTAAGCACGCAATTTTGCTAGTTGCAACTACATACTTTAGATTAAAAACATACTTATGTATATTTGTGCATTTATGTGTATTTAAAAGCAATGTTTCCACTCAGTTCATAGTAATTATTTTCAAATGAAAGTTGGCCTTATTAGGTAGTTTAAATATGTATGCGTTTACTGCAATTTACTTGAATTGGGCATTAAAAATGTTTAATTGTATTGAATTTAAAAATTTACTTGATTTACTATAATGGCTTTTAAAATGGTGCGCTCAATATAGTTTTCCTAATTTAAAGTCACATATTTCGATAATCCGGATTGTCCGGCGCAGTTGATCTGATCAAAATTGTACCCTGACTGGCGGCAGTATTGTGAATTAAGCAAGCCACGAGGTTTTAGATTCAAATCTAATGTAAATGCTAGCAAGAATTTTGAAAAACTTTGATTGTAATAATAGTTTCTGTGTGTGTGTGTTTTTTTTAATAAAATGAATTTCTAAAACGAATTAAATTAATTCAATTAAGTTGAAATAATTATGTGAAGTAGCATAAAAAATAAAATATATAAAATCAGAGAGGATAGAATCAGGGCCGGGTTTACTTAAAATTCCGCCCTGTACCCTGTGAAAAATGCCGCCCTCTTATCTGACACTTACATGAAATATTAAAAAAAAAGTGTATTCTATGTCACTGGCCTGACAACGCTGCAGCTATATGACGTGCAATACCGGGGCGCAAAAAACCTTCTGGACCACTTCACCATTATTTTGTTCCCATTTTCGGACATATTTTTATGGGAAAAAGTCAAGCTTTCATTTTATGATGCTTCAAATGAAATTAAAATTAACTCATTTGGGATAAAAACTCAAAAATTTTAGACAAATAGCCAGTTTCACGAAAGCAATTTAAGTGAAAAATTATTTTTTTATGGATACCACCGAGATTATCTGGCTTGGCGCCATTGTACTTTTAATGGCGCTATTTATGCAAATAAATCTATAAGACTTACCGCCCGATATATCTCAAACATATCAACGTTTGAAGGCTCGCAAGATGTTCTGAAACAGAAAAAATAGCAAACAAGTGATTTCAATACCAGCGCCAATTCTTACAAAGAGGAGCATGGAGATCTAACCATAGATGTCCGAAGCACACTCGAAATATCGAGGGAGTAGGAATGAGTGAATGAGAATGGCGACACCGGTATTGCATATGAAACCTTATGGTCGATCATCGCGACATCCAACTCCGACAAACCATACTCTTTTGATACCATTCGGCATACTAGGGAATACCTGGTGGTGTGCATGTATAAGTTGTTGAACGACAATAGAGTCTCAATATGGTGACAGCAGGCTTTCGTGAACCAATTTATTAGATCTTAACAGTATGGCTTCAGATATTGTAAATTCACTTTGACCAGATTTTCACAGCGCTGTAAATTGTGGAAAATAACCCAAATATCAATCCAATATAGTATGTGTATGTACATACATATATATTTATTTTAAATTTTGCCAATACCAAAATAAAAATAGATTAAGGGTTGTATAACCACAAACAGACGAAGAGTGTGGATATGAATTTACTACAATACATACATACATACATTCGTCCTGCTGACTTGCACGTCCATTGCCTACGACTACACATAATATATGTACATATATTTACATACCTGGCTATATAGATATATGCTTTTGAGATGTATACGTAAATGTGAGGCTTGTGAACTTTTGTCGTCGCCAGTTGTGTGTGCATTATTCAGAAGTTTCAATTGCATAAAGGGTGGTCTATATAGGTTTTTTTTTAATCAAATATTATTTTGACAGCCGTTTCCCGCTGGAAATCTTACTCGAAAAATTATGCTTTTTCACGAAGCGCCCGGAGGCTGTGTTAAAAAGTAACAATGCCGCATTTGAGGATTTGAAAAGCCACACAAGGTCTTCGAGAAGCCAAAGCATCCTCAGACAGCGACATTTAGGTTCATATTTTGGAGGGATAACATCATTGACCCATTTTACATTGAAAATGCTGCAGGAAAGGGCAGCAGTGAGGCATGATAAACGGTTTTTTTGTGGCTGAAAATTTAAGATATGGACTGGAAGAACCTTTGGTTTTACCAGGAGTCTCACCATGTCACACAGTCCATGCTACAATCGATCTTTTGGGTTCGATAAACGTGTCATCAGTCGTCTCGGCGATGTCCATTGGCCACCTCGGCGATTTGACGCCGTTAGATTTTTTTGTGGGGTGCTATGTAGGGCCGATGTTATGCGAACAATCCATTAACGATTCAGGACCTTAAGGTGAATGTCGAGTAAGCCATTCGTAAGATAGAGCCACAACCGCTTAAATTCGCTACTGCGAAACCAGCCAAGGCAACCACATGAATGAAATCGTGTTCGATAAATAATGGGGATGTTTGCTCTTTCGAAAAACAGAATTTTTGTTAAGTTTTTTCATTGTTAAAATGAACGCACTGTATGGAGCGCCCTGTGCATTTTCATTCATAGGTATGTATGTATTAATATAGGTCAGTGCACAAAAAAACAAATCTGAAATTGTAGAGTTGCATGACCACTTAACAGGATTGTTGCTTTGGCGTTTTAGCAGAGATTGACGTGTCCAAATTGAAAAGAAAAAAACAAAAGTGCTTAATGCGCAAGGGTCATAAATAAGAAACCAGTTTTCGTTATGATTACGAAAAGAGCTGAGATCGTATAAAATCCCCAGATGTTTTTTCGATATTACTGTTATCGATTTTATGAATATCGTTATCACCAGAATAGAAATGGAAAATAATAGACTCCAAAAATGTCAGTAGACTACACTTTTGAAAACCCAGATGTTTGAAAGATAAAGTGAAACAAAATAAACTTATAAAAATATATATACATATATTTTTTTATTTTTTTGTATATTTTGTAGTCGGCATCCGCACAACAACAACTCACCGCTAGCAACAGCAATTTACGCGCACGTCCTACCGCCGCTATAGCGCGTCCCCATTCGGCCGACTTTTTGGAATACGAAGCGCGCGCCGAATCAGCAGCAGCAGCAGCTGCAGCCTTAGGCTCTGGTAATCAAACAGCCGCAATAAAACCGGATGCATTGCGCGCACCACGCCCAAAATCATCGTTGGACATCAATCGCACACCAGATAGCTTCTACTACTCGGAGGCGAGCTACGCGGAGAAAATGCGCAAAAGTGCGCTCTATTTGCAGCATCCACAGTCTGGTGGCAACGCAGCGAGTGCACAGCCGCAGCAAGCTGGCGGATATCGCACCGCCAACGATTTCCTTAGCGGCGCAGGCAGCGGTATGCATACAATCGGCTATGAAAATCCCTACGAACGCGCCTTTAAGCGCGGCGAGCAGTTACACGACGGCCAAGGTGCCGCCAGCATGCCGCGCATGAGCCGCAGCAATACAACGACCACTATGAACACAAGCGGCTTGGCGCATCTGCGATCGCAATCACTGCATCCGCAATCGCAGGCGTTGCTCTCGCCACAGTCCCAGCAGCCACCTCCGCCGCAAAAGCCTGTCTATACGCCAACCATGTCGACGCAGCAGATCATCCAGCAAAGCGAGCAATTCTTGCGCTCGGCAAGTGCACGCCTGCCCAAGCGCAGCGGCGGTTTCGATGATGACTACAACAGCGCGGCGGCCACTTTATCGCCCCAGCAGCAGCAGCAACAGCAGCAGATGCAAGCATTGCAACAGCAAATGCAGTCACAAAATACACAACAACAACAGCAGCAACATCAGCCAACAGCACAGGACGGCGAACGCAAGCGTGAAGAGTCAATGAAACGTTTGCTAGAGTGGAAGCAGCGCATGTTGCAGTCACCGTTGACGCGCAAGGGCATGCAGCAAGGGGGCAATAATATGTCCGCCATGTCGAAGCTCGGCAGCAATCCGAATATACTGCTCGCCTCGACGACGGTGGCGAGCGGCGCGCATTATGCCGCCTCCAATGCAAGCGGCGGCGGCAACAGCAGCGGCAATGCGGGTGGTGGTGTTGCGGCAGCTTGCGCTGTTGGTGGGAGTGGCGGTGGCGTATCGGCGACTGTTGGTGGCGGTAGCTTAGTGGGTGGTAGCTTGGTCGGCGGAGTAGGCGGCATTCAACGCAGTCGCTCAGAGGTGCATGCGAACCTGGGCCCAGCTGGCTACAATAGTTACTCATCAGATGACGAAGGTATGTGGAAATTATTGATGTATTTACTATGTATTGCTTGGCTTATTTCTAATTGCTGCGGTCTTTTGTTGTTAAACATTGAATGTTTTAAAAGACATCGCAGCTGTGGTCTTCACGCAGGGTCTTTGGATAAAATACAGAGTAGTGCCACAGAATATATACATAAATGCAATTGAGTCAGTTCAGTGAGGAACGTTTGAGCAACCGTCCTAAGTCTTACTCTTTCTAGTCTGAGCTTTTGGCGTAGAGTCTGCTTAAAAGTATGCCAATCCTTGCAGCATACACACTCACAAACCAGTGTCCTTTACAGATCTTCTTTAGTTATTCTCTACAAAGCACTAGCTTAATGTGAGTCTTAGGTTTTACAGATGTGTGCTTCACCTCAGCTTAGTGTTTGAGTTGTACATGTCAGTAATTCTACAGCTGATTTCCTCAAGTGTGGCTATCATGTGCAATACGTGTGACACCGTTTTGCAGAGCCGCAACTCGCTAGTTCATTCATTGTCTCTTTCCCGTATTTGTCCCTTCGCTCAGGGACGCCGTGACTAATCACAACGGAGGCCAAGACTTTCCCACTGGTTGTGACCCTATCGAGTAAAAGGAGAGTGATTGAAGGTATTTTATGCGGAACCGAAAATAGCCGTTGAATGCTAAGATTTTAGTATTTAGAACAACGCAAAAAGGTAATATTTTTATTGTTATTTTTCTCGATCAGAAATAATCTTTATTTTGGATTTTTGTAATTTTTTTTCGATAATTTTTAACCTTGGCGTTTCAAATCTTTTATGATTTACAATTTTATTTCTATCAACGGTTATAATGGGTCGTATGAATAAAAACTAAGCAATTGCTTTTTCTTAAAATTTCATACCGTTTACTTCAATTTTGTTTGAATAAATCGAGTAAAATGTCTGATATTTAAGAAAAAGGAATTGCTTATTTTTTATTCATATGGCCCAATAAATCGAAAAAAATAACGGATAAATTTCGATCGGAAAAATTTTTCATTTTAACTTTTCAATACAAATTCCTATTCCTACACCATTCTTTGGATATTTTGTGCTGCTGTGTTTATGGTTGGGTAGCGCGTTTAAGTCAAATGCGAATCCATTTGCAATGGCTATGTGTCCTAATGGCTTTTTTTTTCAAGTGGTAACCCTGAAGATCCCAACCTGTTAGTGCTAGTAGCAGCTGTATTTGTAAAAAAAAAATATTTCACTACCCAACAGAACAAAACTTTTTAAAACTCTGTCAGGCAGGATCTCTTTGATTTAAAATCATGAATAGAGAATAATATTATTCAAATACCGGTTTCCTATTTACTTTGATTTTGACATTGTACGCTGCGTGAAGGTCATAAAGAATCGTTGGCAAAAGCCTTTGCATAAAAAATTACTTATTTATTTCCTTGTCTTAATTTAAAATCTATTACACCGTGCGACAAAAAGCAAAAAGATTCACAACACGCGAAAAAATCAATAGACATTTCTGTGGTCATATGGAATAATAGCTTAAGTCGGCAGGCCGGCCTTTGTATAAATGGGCCTTTTGCAAGGTACAATTGCAAGTAACGCATTGGGGTCAAGTCATTAAAGAACTCTTGGAAAATAAACGTAAAAGGAATAGTGTTGATGCTGGCAAGTCAATATTCTCATCTATGGTCATAAAAAAATTTTTTTGTGGTTCAAAGAATAAACGCAACGACGCTTTATACTAAAGCCAGCCTCCCGCATTAAGCTACTATCCCGTATAGCCACAGATATGTACAAACATTCGAAACTAGGGGCCAAATATAGTAAAACTGCATTTCTAGTTTTTCTCTGTGATGTCGCGCTTTTTTACAGAGGACTTTAAAATTTCAAGGACATGATTAATTAAAAAAAAAATATTAAAAATATAGAATAACAATATGGGAACCAAATCAAAGAGAAAACTCTGTAGAATGAAAAAAATAAATAAATTTTTGGGTAAACAAGAACGAATAGCCTTTTAAATATTTTTAAATTTTTTTAGCTGATAAAATTAAAAGAACGAATACTCGTGTGCTTATTCGTCTTTAATATGTAATTTTTTAAAAATTACTATTACAAATTTTTAAGAAAATTCAAGGATGAAATTTCAAAAAGACATTTTTAATACCTATTCGTCCTTGTGAAATAGTTTTTATTTATTTTTTTCTTTTTCAATTCCGCAGCAATTTTTCTTCATTTTTATAACCGTACTGTTATTCTACAATGCACTGAGTTTTTTTTTAACAATTTTTTTTAATGAATCACATCTTTGAAATTTTAAATTTCTTAAAAAAAGTATTCTGGCGTCAGAGAAAAAACTAACAACTCAATTATACTATACGGATCAGCTTGTTTCGCGAGTGTGTTGATCTTTTTTTGTGTGTGTAAAATTGACTTTCGCACGGTGTTATATAATTATTATGTTTCTATATAATATGTATGTTTTTTAATAAAAAGCCTTTCTAACCAAACAAACTCTCGGCTTCTATTCACCATTTATGCCCTACTTTATAAAGCTCTGCATCTGCCTTCCTTTTTTAAGTTCAATTTTATTTGCTTGCATCCCTTTCTCTCTTCCAACATCTTATCTTTCTCTCTGTCACTACCTTTTGCAACGTTCCTTTACAATTTAATTTTTTTTGCAGAGTAGTTACTAATAAATTCCTTGTAAAACTATTCTCCGGTAAGCTTTTGCTATTTGTTCATCTAAGCTGCTAACTGCATTAAAGTATGCATCTATGTGTGTATGCATTATAACTCCTTTAAATTTAGTTGCTTTATTTTATATAAGTATGTGTGTGTGTATGTATGTATGTATACTTGTAGTGCATAAATAGAACTTTGTGTACGCTTATAAATGCTTTACTACTTATTACAGAAACTTTTGCATGCAAGTGTATTTTTAACTGCGTACTTTTTTCGCACACCTCCCTGTAACGGTATCTGCCACTACGCATCTGTCACTTGAATTACGTTAGACTGCCACATTGCGTCATTGCTCTACTTTGCGGACATCTGCGCTACCTCCTCCACCATCGCAGATATCTGCCTGACTTTCGGCACACTTTTTTGCTCTGCACTTCTTCTTTTTCTTTTTTGGCTCGTAACTTTGCTGCGCTTTTGCCATAGCAATGCCCGATTATCTTCATTCCGCCTATTTGCTTATTTTAATAATTTTTTCTCGCGCATTGCTTGAAAATGTGATTTTTACTGCATTTCACTTTTTATGACTGTTGCCGTTATATATAGTTAGTAGGGAGCAACGATTATATTCTTGCCGTTGAGTCAGCTCAACGCTCAGGCTGACTACCGACCGACTTTCTTGTGCTCATTTTATTGCTATTGGCGCGCTTTTTTATCCATTGATGTGTGGTTCCATGTGCGTTTTATGAGATTTTTAGGTCGCGGGCAGCAAATAACTGGCACCTGTTGCCATCCTCTCCATCTTATGGATGAATGGAGGTTTAGTATTTAATGAAGGTTAGCCGTTTAAGCAGTAAGCTTATTTACAAGCGTTGCAGCATAACGGTGACGTCACCAACTTGCAGGCAGTATTGAAGGTTGCCTGAAACTTTGAATCTGAAGCAATAACTGAATTGTGCTGTAAATAATAAGCTCGGTGAACCCGTCTGAACATGACGCGCTGACGGATGAGCTTAAATTTGAGTGTGCTCGGGGAGAACATAGAAGACTAACGAATAATCTACTGGCTATTTTAAAAGGATTTGTGCCTTGAAAGAGAAACAAAATTGTTTATAAGAAGGAGGTTTTAAGTTTAACAACTAAGTAACTCGCTCGTCAAGCTGGGCTCTCATTCTCGCTGATAATTAGCCATGCTAAGAGCCCTCCGGACCTCTTTTATATATTAACAAGCTAAGCTCACAAAAAATTTCAATCGATCTGAAATATTATGGGTCTTTAGGTCATGAGCTCTATTGTGTGTAGATAAAAGGAAATTCCAAAAATAAAGTGAGCTCAGCTGAAGACATTTTTTTTACTTAGGAGTTCGCGAGGCAATAGAGCATGTAATATTTCGTTAGTTTTCCTCATTTTTATATCTTTAATGAGCATTAAATGCTATTATAACTTTGGTCCGATGTTTGTAAGTATCAGAATAAAAAGAGGTAGACCCATTAAAATGTATACGTATATGATCAGATCGTCGAGCTTAGTCGATTTAGATATATCCGTCAGTCGGCCTGTCGGCCTGTCCGTCGTTCTGTCTGTCCGTCTGTTTGTATGCGATCTAGTCTCTCAGTTTTCGAGATATCCGGATGAAATTTGGTAAGTGGGTGTATTTTTGTATTGTATTTATCATTTGTCAAAAACGCAAGAATCGGACCACTATAACATACAGCTCCCATACAACTGACTGTTCAGATAAAAGATTTTTCGTTAAACTCCTCCATTTATGCAGCTGGGAACATTTGCAATACTTGCACCTATTATCAACAGAATACTTATAGTGAAAATTACAAAGATCGGGTAACTATAACCTATAGCTCCCATACAACTGATTGTTCAGATATTGTGTTTTACTGTAAAACTCCTTTATTTGGACAGCTAAAACCGATAACTTTCCTAAGCTATTTAATAAATAATAATACAAATTCTACTGAGAAAATCGTCAAAATCTATGCTGCATAATCTGCTGCTTCATCTCTTATACCACTCATTGGTAAGATATAAATTTTTGCGATATATCTCCTTTATGTAGGAAGCTAAACCCATTAAATTGTGTTACCGGTTTACATACCGATCACACAGCAGTGAAAATCACTTAGATTGGTGCTATATAAGGTATATGTATATGTATTTCTTACCTCTGACCTCTGCTCTTACTCGTTTTTAATTAACTTTCATAACGTTTTCTGTTTATAGTCCATAAAAGACATTGAAAAAGAATTTTTAAAATTAAAGCTTTTTCATCTGCGCAATTGAAATTAATTTCAATTACCCATTTAATATTAATGAATGTGTCACTGCGAGCGCACACGGCGTATAAGTAACATACTTGAGTGGATGGCTGCTCGAGAAGCGGAGTAGTAAGACTCTTGTGGAAGCGATAGTCTTCACAGAAATTCGCATTTTCATAGTTGTTTGTTTACTTATCAAATTAGTAGAATTTACTATAGCTCATATTTGTATAAAGTTGTATTTGTAAACATTTTTTTGACTAAAGCCACGGTTGATTGATGTCGTTCTATAGCTTACTAACACTTTAATGAAGCCCACCACTTAACTAAAGCAATTAGATAAAAGTAGATATTGTTTTCATAAATATATGTATTATTTTCAACACTCTAAACCTTGATGAAATAGCAAAGTAGTTATAACCGGGTAAGGTAACCACAACAAGCACCTTTCTGCCGAGCCTGCATGCAGATTTTTTTACGCGAAAAAGTTTATATGAAACCATTTTACAAAACAATTACAACTACCGTATTATTTTTTATAGTGGAAAGTTAATAGTCTAAAGTTAGTTTGTAAAATTTTCGTTTCTACTTGTAAGTAAACATACAAAAATAATTTCCCTGAATTCTTTAAATAAAATAAATAAATAATAAAAATTAACTAATGCGCAGACTAAAAAAGTTACTACAAACTTTGACAATTTAGTTGCGAAAAAGCAGCACAGGCTATGCTGACGTTTTTATGTACATAAACGCTTCAAGGCATACAAGCTTACATATGCATTTATACATATTTACATACTTATGTACATATATTGTATATAAAGAGCACCCTCATTTCAGTAACTACATATATCTGTCGTTATGCCATTCCGAGCGGATGCGGAAGTAAAATAAATTCGCCTAATACATCCTACTTGTCGAGTTGTTGATTTGCAAAATTGTCTACAATTTCCGTTTGTTAGATGTAGTCTTGGGCTTTACTTCGTTCTGCTACCGAGCCCAAATAGGTGGCATTGCCAAAAGAAGTACTGAAAACTTATGCCCCATTTTCAGAAATTTGCTAATTTGGGAAAAAGCCTTGGCAACTAGTAAATGCCACTTAGAAATTGTTAGCAAAACGAGTAGCATTAAAAGGAAACCATTTTGCACTAACAGCTTATAAATTTGAGATAGAAAACAGTAGGAGAAAGTTAACATGTCGTTTTGTGGCGGTATCTGAGCATATGTTTAGGTGGGTGAGAGGACACCTATACATACATATATGTATGTTTACATAGCTGTGAGCTCGTATATCAGCCTCAACCAAATTGAGCAACGTGCACAGTTTTTGACTTAAGCTTACAAAGCGCACCGAAAAAATGTTGACTGACTAAGCACAACTGACCTTGAAGAGTTCAAGCTGACTATTTTTAAACTAAAAGTATAATTATATCTCCAGAACAATTTATTTCGTCGCTCGTAGGGAGTAGCAAATCTCAAATTACCACAGAAGACCCAGAAAGAAGTTTTGAAAAGTATTCCTACATTTTCAGTTGTTGACCAAAGTACAGGCTTGTAAAATATAGTATAATGGGCATCTAAGTTACCATCTGTCACGAAATCTACTGACCCTGTAAGTCATGACTAAACCAAGCTGGAAAACTACACCAAAGTTGTTTTTTATGATTTTTATGTCACTTGCCTAAGCCACTTTTAGAAAGAATAAAAATATTTTACGCAGAATTTATGATCCACTAGGTGGCGCCTGCGTCGAAGTATGGGTAGAGATTATATTCCTGGTAGAGACCATTGCTTAAAAATTCGGCTTTGAATACATTTCCAAAGTGTATATAAAAATTTTAGTAACTTATTTATTTTCGCACAGGAATCCTCAAAGAGAGTATATTATAATTTCTTTACAAAAAGATAAATTTATCGTATTTGCAAACATATTTTAGTCCATAAAAAAAAGTGGAATCAAATCTTTTCCACCGATTCCCATCATACTTATAGATAGGCACATACGTACAGACATTTATTTTCCGGAAACACATAATTCCTTGTACGGTTATACAAGCGCAATAAATTTCACCGAAGCGTCATATGTTCCGACACCGAATATTGGACTAACATAAACACTTGCCAATGTAAGGACATGTGGACATGGACAAGAGTATATATGGATTTTAGCAACGGCAATGACATGCATGCATATATATATGTAAATATGTATCTCTGCATATTGGGTTATCAGCTAGCACAGATTGAGTTTGGCGAAGCCGTTACAAGCGATGGCTCGAGGTGATTGTTTGCTGTGGCAAAGTAGCCATATTGGAGCTTAAAATATTCGCATGCCAATGTGCCTAAAGATATGCATACATACATATGTATGCACTAGTATGTATAAGTATGTTTGTATGCTGATTGTTACATCGCGTGCTTTGCCATTGCCAGCCGCTTGCAGTGTGACGAATTATATGTATGTCTATTAGGGTGGGTACATTTTTTTTAACTATGCGCGTATAGCATAGAAGGATTCTACGTGTAAGCAAATTTTCCGAAGAAACCATGGGTCTTAAATCAATTTGCAGTTTACCAAATTGCGAAAATCGGTTGCGAAAGAAATGTGAAAGTTTTCACTTTTGTCACGCTCTCTTGTGGCAGCTTTAAGAAAAAGATAAGTGCAGAAATGGATTCCTCATACCAAAAAAACCCTTATAGATTGCTTTTATAAAAAATGTCAGCACTTTTTTACGACACTACATCAAAATAATAAAAAATACTATTTTCGCAATTTGGCAAACTCCAAATGGATTTTAGACCCATGATTTCTTCGCAAGATTTTCTTAGAATTACACGTAGAACTCTTCGAAAAAATATCTCATACACATTGACCCGACCTAATGTCCATACCTACATACCCACATACGTACACACTATGTAGCTCTCCAGCTCGAGGCAGGATATCATCCACTTAGCATATTGCACTACATGCATTTGTGTTGCGTTTTTATTTACTTGCTACTCCGTTTGCCGATTTTCCGTTGTTTTTTGTTTAAAATTTTGTATAGCATGTTATTCGTATTTAATTTATAGGCTTGTACCGCCCGTTGTCGCTGCGTCTGGCTTAAACTTTTTTCTGTTGTATTTTATTCTTAAATATGCCAGTTACTACGCGTATGTTTGTAAATGTGTTTGCACATAAATTTAGGTTAATATAAAATTTTTCCACACACATACACACACACACACACACACGCGTATGTATTTGCATTGTGAATTTAAAGCACAAATACGGCTAGTTGGTCAGGTCTGCGCGTTGCTCGTTGCATACTCTCTGGGGTCCTTCGCCACTGGGTCGCCTTTAGTGAGCTTATTTTTTATTTATTTTTTATTTATTTATCTCTTTTGTGGTTGGTGGTGCCTTTCATATACATATATCTATTTACATACATACATATATGTGGTATATATACTAGCCTGTGTGAGACAGGTCTTGTAGTGGCCCTTCCCTGTGAAACAGGCGATTTTTTCGAATTTAAACTGTTCAAGTTGGGCTGCTGGGATTTAATTTAGCGTAGTTAATTATCTGTAGCTTCGTAACTGTTTTCTTTAACAAAAACAATTATATATTAAATAAGTGGTTGAGATACACATACATGCATACTCATAGAAGCAACTCCAATATGAGCGTGTAAATATATCAGCGATTTTATTTTATGTTCTTAATTGTTCTTTAGCTGGTGTCTATCGTTTACTTTTTATTTTTTTTTTTATTTTTACCTTCAGTTTATTCTCTATTCGATATTATGTTCTTTTCTTTCTTTTATAAGTGGGTTAATTGGTGCACTTAAAGTTGCTAACTGTTACTCTCTATTGGCTTTAAATCCTTTTTTCACTTTCAACTAAACCAAGAATCAAATCAAATTTATTCACCAAATAAATTTAAAAATTAAAAAACTTCGCACTAAATTCATTATTTGCAAAATATTTTCAGTACCCATTGTTGAATTTTGTTTAATAAAGAATTCGTTTTTTGTTTCTTTTTTCCACGTTTTTTGTTCGTTGTTTTTTGGTTTTTCGTGTAAAAACTTTTTGTTTGATTTTTGTTTTGAAATTTGTAATTTTTGTACAAAAAAAAAACATTCACCAAAACACCATAAAATGTGTATACTGTACAAAAATTCGAACTCGAAGAATGCCCAAAACCCCTGTCTGATGGAGACAACACAAACGGCAGGCCGGCAGGAAGGTCCACCACCACTACCACCACCATCACAACCACAAGTACTATTACTACCTCTACTACTACTACCACTACCACTACTTTAAGTACCACTACAAATGCCAGCACTGCTGCCAGTGCTGTTAGCCACCAAACCGCCACAACAAAAACAAATGTTTCTGCATTTGTTGGCCAAACAATCGAGGCTAGTAATAAATGCAACATAGCAACAAAGTCAACAATTGCATTTTCTGAAACAAATACACACACTACTGTACCCACACCCATACATACGAACTCACTGTTACGCCCTACAAAGACTGCCAAAGCGTTGGCCGGGCAATTGACACCGCAACGAAGTGACACGACCGACGCACAAAAAGCGACAGCGACAGCGACAGAGACAGCGACAGCGACAGCGGCGTGCGAGAGCAACAAACCTAATAATATTGCCGCCCCAACCGCAACAACGACAACATCAACAGCATCTACAAAAGCGCATACTGGCTCAGTAGCACTCAAACCTATACTCAAATGCACTGATAGCAGCACTAAGACGACCGACACGGCGCATGAGCAACAAGCAATTACTATGTCGCCAGTGCAACGCGCCAAATTGCAACTGAATATGGCGGCACTTAAGGACAAAGCACCGACGACGATGCGAGACGCAACAATGGCTGATATGCCTGATGAAGTGCCCATACTTCCGAAGAAGCCGGCGCCGAAATCACCGCAAATTACCACTTACACACCCGTCTACACGACAAAGACGCTCACAGCGTCACCGCCGAAGACATATGAAAATGTGGAATTTATTGCCAGCCGAGTAGTCGAGGATGTTCCGGCAGATACCGAAGTGGCAAGTAATACATCAGCCATCGATGTGGAGGAAACCGTCGGCGTTAAAGATAATTACACTGGTAATGATGCGACTCAGATGACAGGCGATGCAAAGCTGCCGCTTCTCGTCACCCCTGTGACCAAAGCAGCGCCACCGAAGAGCATAAATGAGCAGGAGACACCAATGTTGGCGCAATTACGTGTTTATCAAAGAATACAAGAGGCTAATTTAAATGCGGAGAAGCCGAAAACAGAAGAAGTAAGTGAAGAGGTAGGGGCGGAAGAAATTGAGAGATCTCAGGTAACTCGAGCCAGCGCCGCGGATGTTATTGCTCATGAGGCCAAAGATGAAGCTGAAGATGATGACGATACGCCTGGTGAGGAATACACTGACGACGATCTCGATGAAGCTTTGGCAGAGGAGGTCGATGAGGCAGAAGCTGGAAATGAATTGGCTGCCAATGAAAAACAGATGACGCAAAGCCGAGATGAACTAACAGCAAAAACCGAAGCTCCTGCTCAAGAAACGCATGAATCGAAAAAACCAGCGGCACCGGAGTTGAAACCGATTGTCACAGACGAACCCCGCACTCCATTTATCCCCGCGCTGATGTTCGATGAAAGCCACTACCTGCCCATGACGCCGAAGAAAAGCGATTTGGCGCAAAGCGGAAATTTTACACTCATCAGCACGCATGACTCCACTGCGGCGGATGAGAGCCCCTATGTGGAAATGTGCAAAAATCTTATAGACGAAGACTCCAAATCTAACTATGAAATTATGTGCATAAACCCTCATGCTGGGCCAGCATTAACAAGCGCTGCAAAGCTTAAACAGTCAGTAGAACAATCCGAGCCTGTCTATATGGAATTGTGTGGTGCCAACAGCGGCATTGTCGAAGACATAAGCTGCTCAGCCGCACCACAGGTCAACCCCAACCCAGAGCCCCCGGCCCAACCATTAACCGCCGATGAGCTGCATAGCTCCTCTGGTAAATCCACGTTGAAAAAGAGTAAAAAATCCGCCGATACACTAAAGAAGAAAGCGAAAAAGTCGACCACCGAACGCTCGCAATGCAAGCGCAAAGATCTGCCGGACATACTCAAGCAATCACAAGGCACAATGACGCACGTGTCTGATAGCTCCGATGCCGACGATGAGTCGACTAAGCACAGTGATCTCAAGAAAATGCGCTCGCGTACGCGCTTCAGCTTATCGGACACCTTCCGACCAGCTTCCTACTATCTGGGGGCATCCACGCCACTTGCTGATTGCGCAGAGAGTTCGGATAGCGAGATTGTATCGCCACCACCCATACCAGCCTCACCGCCGCCCATGGAAACCTTGAAAACAGAGGAGATATTCTCTTCCGAACACTACGATACGGTGAAAAGACGCGACAGCAGCAGCGGAAGCGCCACGAAAATCAACATCTCGTACGAACAAATACCAAAGCTGCATGCAAGCAACACTTCGCTGAATAGACAAAAGGCAGAAACAACTTTGAAGAGTAGTCGCTTGTCACTGCCCGATCAGTTCTCGAAGCACCGCAGCTCCGGCCATTTTAAAACGCCACACGCAAGTGTCCTTCTTAAGCATCACGAGCGCACCCTCTCCGACTCGAACTACAGCTTCCAAACTGACAACAGTTCGAACAACTCCTCCGACTTCGATTTCTATAATAAACTCAAGCAGAACTCACCATCGTACGTTGCCACGCCAGGTCGCTATCAATCCAACAGCTCCCTGCCGCAAAAGTTCGTACTAAATGCCACAACGCCCGCTGGTGATAGCAGCGAAACCGATTCGGCAGTGGAGTTCCGACACCGCCAAGGATCGGACTCCGAACTGGAACGACAAAGATCACGCCGCCCACTTTCAGAAGAGTCCATTAGTGAGATTGAATCATTGCGGGAAAAATTCGAGGAAACTTTAACTCACGATTTGGATACCTACCTGAGCCATTTGCAGTCGAACGACTTATACCTCTATCAGAACACATTACTGGACGCGCCGCTTCGTATGGGCTCAACAGATTTGCTAACGAAGCTCATAAAACCGCCAGAGACATTCCGCAACAAGGACGACGAGCATTTTTATGGTAACATTCGCTTTGTTTCCTCCACAGATTCGTTGCAGCGATTGGGCGGCGATAATCGTGAGAACTCCGGAACAGTTGCGGGTGCAAGCTGCCAAACGCCCACTTCCAGCGGTCATGACCACGATAACTCGAAATACTACACGCCCTTGCACAGCCGGAACAACAGCAACATCTCCGACAAATCAGCGCCCTACTACTACTCCGAATTGAACAGTAGCCGCGAGTTGCTCGCTACACCCACAGCACCACTGAACAATCAGCGCGATGTGCACGCTCATGGCTCGAATATAGCGCACATTCACAATCCCATCGAAGGACATGCCATTTCTAATATAAATGTGGACTTGCTAGCCGACAAGGATCGGGCAATCGACAGCAAAAATTTGTACAAAATGAAGACGAACATCGAAAAATTGAGCTACCGCTCCGGCAAAATATTGAATGCCGGGGACATTATGCAACCCAGCACATCGGCTGCTGCCGCCTTCGTCTCATCCACATCAGCGGGCGTCTACGATTATCAACGGCGGCATGCGCATGCCACCAAATTGAGTAATTTCCAACAGACTAACCTACTTCATACGCACACTGAACTTACGCCATCCATTTCCATGTCGCCAGCCATGAATCGCACGCCCATAGCGTCATCACAAACGCATTCCCCCTATCCTACATACAGCGCTGCCATTGGTGTTCACGTCGCCGGCGGCGGTGCCATGAAAGTCACAAATATGCAACAACAGCAGCTTAGTCGTAGTAATATTGTCGGTGTAGTGGCTCATCCGCGCCATGTTATTGCCGGTGAAGGTAGCGATATAGACATGGTGGCGTCACTTGACAGCCAACCGCCCACTAACACTAACCTGATAGCGGCACAAGCCGCCGAGCGCACGCACACAAATAACGCAACAAAATTCTCAGTTCCAGGTGCAACAGTAACCGGTGAACTGCTGTGGGAGGAAGACACGCTGTGGCGCGAAAGTTTGCGACGCGTTTCCCAACGCCATGCGCGCTCACTTGACGACCTCGATCGCATTGCGGCCAGCCCGACAGCGTTGATGAGACGCGAACTGCATGCGGCAGATCGAACGACTAGCAAAACAAAGATCACGCGTGACGTTACCTACGTCAATGACAATGTATCACATCAGATGCGCGCCGCTTACAAACCGCGGTTGAGTGAGCCGCTCAGCCGCCCTGGGGCAAGGGGACTGGGCGACATGCCAACGCATGCGGATGAGGACGATCGCCTCAATGAAAATGACGTGTACGTGCAGCTGTTAGAGGATCACACACCAAGTGATGATCACAACTCGGATGTGTACGAGGTGCTGCGCGCCGACAGTGGTTCCAATCTGTCGCACAAATCGGCAGAGATCGACCGCGAAACGATACGCCAATGGGACTCGATGTCCAGCGGCTTGATGAAGCATTCGGGCAGTAATAGCAACTCGGAGAATGACAACCCATGTGGCAGTGAGAGTCTGACGAGTGTTGGCAGCACGGTGCGCGCCATTATGGAGCAACTGAATGTAAGCTGCGACGACAGCGACAATGTTGCGCATACGCCCAGTGCTACCGATATCGAGTAGAGTGCCAATTTATCAAATAGACACCACACAAAAAAAACAAATGTACAAATTTTGCAAACAATAGCTTAACTTTAGTGTGTAGAAAAGGTCAAATGCCGACTGTCAGCCGAAATGACAGCGAACAAAAAAAATCATTCTTCATTGTAAACCACCTGTTTTATGCGGGCAACAGTTGCACAGTCATACACCGAATATAATGTAGGAAATCTGTTGGCGGCGGCGGCTTTCAGCGGTTCTATTGTTTACCTGGTTTGTCTGCTAATTGCATTTACATGTATGCGAAACAAATAAGACCAGCATCAACAGTGGCTGAACAACGCAGACGATTGTGTAAATTTTGAATGCAAAACCTTAACTATTCGCGCACCGAATTTTACCGAATTTAACCAAGGGCGATATTACACTTTTGTTGTTGATTTCCCAGCGCGGTGCAAATAACTTTGAAAACAAACCAACGCAGAGTGCTAAAACGACACACAACGGACACACACACACACACACATACAAATTGTGGAAACCCAAACAAATATGAGTTTGTATGTGCACCTGTCTAAATTTATTGAATTTGCACAATCAATTGAAAACAACTACAAACAAATGCACATACTTTTATACCAGACACGTAAATAAGGACACACAGGCACACTTACATACATACATGCATACATACATACATACAGACAGCTACTGAAAGCATAGACAGACTGACGCGGCGCGGCGCCACAGACACAGAGCAACAGCCGCACACTGCACGAACACTTTGAGAAATAAAAATATTTTGTTGCCTGCAATTTGCAATTACATATTGTTATTACTTTGTTGACTGTTGATTGTTGTTGTTATGGTTGTATGAACAGTTTTATTTTGTAATGGTAACAAATATGCGATAATACATAAATGCAAAAATGTTATAAGAAAACGGTAAGCAACTTTATTTTTCTATTTTACTACAAATATTTTCTCCTTCCTCTACTTCACTGTTTTCCATTGTAAATTTTAATCCTTCAAAGCGCTTTGTTCTTTTCGCTAAAGAATTTAACTATTAAATAATCGTAAATATTATCTTCCATATTAAAAACATATCCTTATTTAGCTTTGCTAAAAACACTAACCAACACAGGAATTATTGCTTTACTGTATACTTAATTACTACAACACAAATAACAAAAGCATTTTGTTGATAAATTAATTTAGCTGTAAAAAAAAATCAATTTACTTATTTTATAGTTAAATGTACAAATTGTAAATTTTTTCTATGTAAAAATTTTTAAACTTTATTTTTTATGAATAAGGCCATAAGTATGCAAATAATAATGAAAAATTTTAATGAAGAATAAAGCGAAATCTATGTCGCTGGTTGCTAAGGAAAAAGTTGAATTAGAGAAAAGTTACCAAACAACTATACAGGGTGTCCTAGACCACCTGCCCATCCTTCTGAAATGGGAGAAATTTTTCTATAAAAAAACGCAATTTTTTTTTGGTGGCATTATCGACTTCCAGTTTTGACCGGAAATGGGTTAAACAGACCGGAAGTATTTTTTTTTTTTTAAATTAGACACAAATGTTTTTACTACAGACTAGGATTATGATTAACATTTGTTTGAAACTAATTTCACGCCAGTGCTTTTGCAACCTCCAAATGAGCTGCGAACTTCAATTCGTCCCGGACTTCTAAAATGGACCAAAATGTGCTTAAAAAAGCAACAAATATTAAACACAAAATCGGGGATGCTAAATATTTTGGTACAATTACCGATTTCCGGTTTCACCAGGATGTGGGCTAAACTGACTGGAAGTCTATTTTTTAAATATGTGCCCTACACATGATTTTGAATGGCCTTCCGGTTAAAATAATGCACTTCCGGTCTGTTCAACCCATTTAAAGTCGAAACCGAAAATCGGTAGATAGAGCATGCCCGACTTGGGGATTCATATTTTTTTGGTTTTTCCTAGAAAACAGTTTCAAACAAAAGTTACGTATTTTTATCCCCAGAATCCGAATCTGTAGAAAACAGGTGTGTCTAATTAAAAAGCAAAATACTTTTGGTCTGTTTAACCCACTTCCGGCCGAAACCGGGTCTACGATAATACCACCAAAACATATTTTTGAGTTTTTGAATAAAAATCATTTCCCTCCACTTTAAAGGGAGTGGACGGTGGCTGTTATTTTTAAAAGAGGTATAAGTCCATTTTTTCATATGTCGAGATATTTAACAGTTTGCGTCTGAATTGATTTATAAATATTGACAAACATTAATCAATGTGTTTCTTGATAAATTATTTGTAAAGAAATTTTATCAAGATTTTTGTCAGTAAAAGCTCCCATCGCATTCTGTGCCAGTATTTATAAAATAAAAAGCTCTACGATTTCCACATGAGTTGAACTCATTTCATTGTCACATATGAAATCTAATGTCGGCTATAAATTCTGTGTGTCGCAGGTTCAAATACCGGCACATGCAGTATTTAAATGATGGAAACAAATTTTTTAATATACAAAATTTATAATTTTCATAAGAAATTTCAATCTGTAAACGCTTTTGTATAGCACTTTCAATCTTGATAATTTACCAAGACAAGTAATTTTTAAGCAAAAAACAAACCCGTCTTCAATTCTCATACAAAAATTTAAGATTATCGTTAATTGGTTCATGATCCAACAATCGCATTTAATCCAAATTAGTATGGGACCACCTGTTAGGTAACATCTTTCCTTTAAAAAATTAAAAAATTATAGAAATCGGTTGACGCGGTCCAAAGTTATGCGGTAACATACATAAAAAAAAAAATCCGACGGATTGATAACCTTCTCCTTTTTGTGAAGTCGGATAAAAAGAGCTTTTGATTTCTTTCGTTCCAATTCTTGCTAAATAATGAAAAACTTTATTTTTCAAGTGCACAGAATCGGGCTGTTTTTTTTTATTATAGAATAATAACTATTATATCAGTTTCAATAATAACATATTATAAGAAACCAAGAGCTGGTTTCTTCAACTCAACTTAACTTAGTTTAGCCATTTTTTGGACTTAAGTCAAAAGTTAGCCTACGTTTTATTCAGCTTATGCTTGACTAAATCCAAAAAATTGGTTAAACTAAGTTAATGGATTTTTTTGTACACAAAATAATAATTAGAGCGAAGATTTGTAAATTCAACAATAATCAAGTCTTTATATTAAGAAATAATTTCAGTTATACTTGAGCGGTTTTATGAAGTGGCATAAGTCCACTTTTAGAAAAATGAATTAACCCTTTCGCGATATTGTTACCATATGGCAGCAACAAACTTTAGCGCATCGTATGTTCCCACAGTTATGTATCTTAACCCTTTAAGTAAAATAACAAATTAAAACAAAAAAATATGCTGTAATAGAATTGTAGATCATAGGGCAGTTTGAGCGAAGCAAGTTTTTCTATCTTGAATTTAAAAAAAAGGCGCTTGTAATTTTATTAAGTTTCACCTATTTGCAATCAAATTTCTGAAAATTTTTTAACCAACTTCCTGGAGACCTAGAAACTCGAAACTTCTAACTTGGATTAGAACTCGATGACAATGCAATAACAAAGCTGAAATAATCCGGTAGGTCGCGCAGGAGTCAGGATAATTGGAAAATCGATATTTATGTTCCGATTTGCTTAAAAACCTATGTATATTAATTGAGTAGAAAGAAATAACTCCCAAAAAATTGTATCGTTAGGTGGGCGGGTGTCGGTTTTTAGTTTTTTATTAACCACTTACAAAAGCTTTTTTAAAATTTAAAAGCTTAGTATCCGGTTCCTAAGAAAACGGTCAAGGAAAAAATTCCATAATTTCGTTTGTGTATATCTCACAGCCTGTTGTCTCACCTTGATCCTCGCGAAATGATGGAGCGGGCATATATTTCTGTTGCAAACATTGGTTGCCTTGTGCTCTTTTTTCGCAAAAAACGTTAGAGAACCGTAGTAGAAAGCGTAGAAAATGTCTTATGAACTGCGTATTGCCTTAAAGAAATTTGACGCAAAAAATTGTCTTCGCCATTTCTTGAGCATTCTTTATGTATCATTTTTGCTTTCCTTGAGAACTGAATACTGGCCTTAAGCTCGAAGGGAAAAGCTGTACAATTTATTGAAACCTTTTTAAAGAGAATAACCCCACTATTCGTTCGATTGATAGTTTGGCATAAAAACGTTCCTTAAAAACTTCTGAAGTAGAAGCAACCATTTTTTAAAGTGCTAAAACTAAAAAAAGAGGAGAGCCACTGGGCATGCATAACTCTCATTTGGGCATGGATTTCGCCACTGAAATTATTTTGTTGACTTTAAGAATTTTGATATACATATGTATTCGCTATCGACGACTCTTCGGAATTATAGATGACTAGTATTTATGATCGAAGAACTTACACAGCAAGGTCTATATGAAATAAATATTTGAAATATTGACGCTGATGAAAACGGAGTATTAGGTGAAGCGAAAGAAACTAAGAAAAGCTTCTCTTTTAAAAATGTAGCTGAAAATTTTGATCCAAAAAAACCAATGTGTTGGAAGAAGGCCATTTTTACTCATGTTTACCCAGATGAAAACATAAAGCTGCCTTTGGAATATTCTTCTGAAAATTTTCCTTATCAAATCATAGGTGCCACTAATCAAGCATTCAATGTTTTCGAACTCATTTTAGTGTAAATCTTACGCTGTGGCTGAGTAGTTAGAGGTGCGCGCTGCCACTTCGTTAAACAAAAAAAACCGGTCTCTCTTCGGCAGGCAATGCCAAACCTCCGAATGTATTTATGCTGGTGAAAATATTTCGTATAAAATCCATTTGCCGCGTTCAGAGGCGGCGTAAAATATGCAACGAGCACTATAAGACCCCGTTCACATGATAGGCTCTAACTTGCGTTTATAATATATTTATATATTATATTATATTTGTAAAATTCTAACGCAGCGTGTAGCTTTAAAAGTCCTCGTCTTTTGTTTTTATTTCAATGTCCATAAACCATTTTGCTGTATATTCAATTTTTTTTTGCTTTTGAACGCAAATAATTTTGGTAAAATTAATTCAACTTGCTGTCTTAACGCAATTAGCAATAACAATACTAACCAACCACCGTTAATTCATCGAATTGTAATCAATCCCCATTTTTTCGGCGCAAACTAACTCCAGTTCGTTCATTTATCACCCAAAAAAAAAAAATACTAAAGCCAATAACAACCGTTAACTGTTTGTGAAACTATGTAGAATTTACTTGCTACCTTAAGTATGTATGTATGTATAGCTTGCCTTCTGCTCGACGCTAAAACATACCGCCGCATACTGCTTCCACGCTCTATCCTAGTAACGTCCTTATAGAGGCTGCCTTTTTCCCACTTAGCCCCAACTATTCCACTCAACTCTTCTCTTATCTTATCTTGAGCTACTCTCGTCTTTCCTCTCCACTCACGCTATCTCTTTGCCTACTGGATTGAGAATTAAAACTCTGGCACATGCAATTTGTCATTTTGTCTTTTTTTCTCTTTGCTCTTTTCTTCCACACATACACTTACATATATACATACACGCACACGGTCCTACCACTGCCGCTGCAACTACATCACCGCTACATATAACCATATCTGTGCCATAACCAGCAGCGTCAATTTCGGTGCGGAATGTACGCAATTTACCCAAAGGCAACCTCACCGTAAAACCAGATCCTTCGGATGCACACAATCCTCTGCAGCAGCAGCAGCAGCATCTACAACAACAAAAGCACTTAGTACAAGGCAATTATGATCAAGCGTTGGGCAAACTTACGAATTCCTACTATGGCACAGCGCACGATACGAAATACGCGAAGACAACAACACTCACGGATCGAAGTGGCAGTCATGGCATAGGAGGTGTTTATGGCAGCAGCGGACTACTTTCGGGTGGCAACAGCATATTGGCCTCCTCCACGCCACTGCATCCCAGCGTGAATGGCGGCGACTATTATGGTGGTGTTGGTAGTGCGGCTGCTGGTGGTGGGAGCTTATGGCAAGGCCAACAGCGACAACAACAACAACAACAACAATATCAAGCAGCAGCAGCAGCAGCATATCCGCTGAGACGCGTGGAGAGTCGCGCTGAAATCGATATGTTGGAACGTGAGACCAGCACACAGATGAGGGTGAGTAGTACGCGAGGCATCCACTTTAAGGGGGGATGTACCCACTTTAAGAAGAGCAAGAGTTGAAGAAGGTTTTGTGACGGCGCTTAGCGCCTGAAATATATCGACTTGCATTGATAAATGCGACGGAAATCATTTTGCGCGGCTGCAGCCAAAGTCAAATGGCTAAAGTTTGGTATTCAATAATAAAAAAAAAAATTGGAAATGTTGGTAAGGAATGTTTGTGTGCGTATTGGAGAACGCGACATTGAAAGAAATTCAATTTAAAGTGAACACCAGCTATTTATTAATTTGCTGTCCGCGTTTTGCCATTTCTCTTTTGTTCCATTAATATTGCTTGGTCTTTTGTGTTATTTAGTTTTGTTATTTTTAGTTTTTACTAATGTGCCAAATTTTTTTATTTTCAATTTTATTTGCTTTAATTTCAAATACCCGCAAATATTGCAATTTCAAAAATGTTTCGCACCTGCGTCCTTTCGCCGCTTGCCTGCTTGCTTTTGGGTGTGTCTGTCTCTACGCCGATTTGCTGCCACTTAGAATCTGGATGTATCCGCTGGTGATTTACTAAGTCGTACACATGAGGAGCTGGTTCTGCTGCTGATACAGTTGAGGCGACAAAACAGCAATACGGCGCGCGCCATCGAGCAATGCTGCAGTGATATTCATGAAGTGCAGGTTGATAAATACTTTTTACTCATGCATATCTACATATCTACATACATACATATAACTAAAATAGCGGGTGTTGGTTTTTTTTGGAATAATTGAGAACTGATCTTATTTTCTTATGCCCTCCTAAACGATATTATTCACTAAATCACCGTTACAAACTCTACATCTTTCCCTAGAATCGTTTACGCACTGCGGAGGGTCTGACACGCGCCGAGAGCATACAGCGCTTGGATTACCTGAAGCAACATCTGCTCGATCTGGAGCGCCAGTATGAGAAGAGCAAGCCGCTAGTCAACCTGGTGGACAATATGGTGAAGCTGGGTTCACTTTATCGCAACAACGACATAAACGGCCGACAGCCGCAACGCAACGAGGCCGTTACACTCGATCGACTCGAATTCAATCAGCGCATACAAGAGCGACGCATGCTGCAAGAGGAGCAGAAGCAATGGGATCGACTCAGTCCCAATCACAGCGAATTGCAGGTAAGCGACCAACCTTGGTGATTTCGAAAAATATCTAAGGCAAATAATTTCGCTAAAATTGAAGTAATACATATCCCGACACCGTCACCGTCAAAGGGGCACAACTCGAAATTACACGTTTGTCAGAAAATGCAAAAAACTATTTCTTAGCGCATGATAATCATATGGGCAAGGGAGACGTTACCTTAGGGTTTTTTTTTTATAAATTATAACACAAATTTGCTCCGGCTTTTGCTGAAAGGCAAATAAAAGCTCTGTGTACATTTTTAGCGCATAATTTCAAAAATGTCTAAATTTTAGTTGTGCCTCTTTTGAATATGGTGTGCGATATGCATTGATTTCATCTGCATGTATTTCTTAATTCTCATTCCTCCCTCCCTCCCTCAACCCTCACCACCAGTCCAAGGTCAATCAACTCTACCAACTCGATCAGCTGCTGCAAGAGGAATCTGGCACTTTGCAAAATTTGCAGCGCGACAAAGAGGAATTGGAGCGCGCCTTGGGCGGCTTGCGAGCACGCATACAGGACACTTCCGGGCCGCCGTTGGCGCTCGAGGCGGCCAAAAAACAACAGCACATGCTGGAACGTGAACTGTCGCGTGTGCATCAGCTTTTGGCAGAGAACTCAAAGGTAGTCGAGGTGCCTAGTATAGAAGTTTTGTCGTCTGTTATTTTTGTTTTGTGCGATAACAATGAAGAGGCAAAAAACTAAAAAAAAAAATAGTTGTCCATGCTGCATCCAAAAAGCTTGTGAATGCGCTTAAAACTGTGACTAATCAAATGCCAAACTTATGACTAAGTAAGCCAGCAAATATGCCTACATAATTACTAACACGCTGCAACGCTTATAACAACTTATAAGCTTAACACACATACCAAAGCAAATTTAATGTTTGCATATCGTCGGTGATACTGCAAAACGTTCTATGTCACTTATTACCTCTGGTGCTTAATTGATCTGTTATTTGTATCTGATCACTTCTGGCAATCGTTCATCTTCATCAGCCAAAGGCAGATAGTTTTGTCATTCGTTTATAAGGTTTATTAGGGTGTAACGATTTACAGATGCATTTCGGTGCAAGTAAGAGACCATCTAAATGTCAAGAGTACTAATTGACATAGACCGTTTTGCAGTATCACCGACGATATACAGGATACTCGGTTATAATATGCGTATACACTTCGAGCCCTAACCGCCAAAAATACGTAAGTCAATTTTTTTTCAGATGCAGAAATGCATCTAAAAGCTCCAGGAATAAAAATTAAAAAAAAAGCATGGCGCTAACGTCTCTTTGGTGGTTAAGGCTCGCTATATGTATGTATGTATTAAGCATGAAAAAATTTCGTTTATGTATTTATTTGATATATTATTTTTATTTACCTGTTTTTGTTATTTTTATGGCCTTATAAGAATTATATTCAACAATTTTTATGAGCTTGAGGCCGTTTTTAGTGAAAACTTATTGTGGAAAAGCAACAATAATTTGAAAAAATGGTAGAAATAATAGCTATTTCGGAAATCACCACATTTCCTCATCAGACTTCTTTCAGTAGGATTCGAACCGACGATCACCACTGACTCAGCCAGTTACCTACGCACTGATGAAACAATTCGGTAAATACTGCAACAGTACTGCGGATTTCATATCGACTGACAGTAGACTAGTGTGCTGAGATTTAGCAAATACTTTGCGTGTTGGGTACCTAATCAAGATTGCCGTTATGGGCTTTTCCTACCAAATTTGGTAGGTTTTGTTCTCGTTGGTAGGATGGTAGGTCGCTTAAACTTTTTGTAGGTTTCTTTGCTCATAAAACAGAAAACATCTCTGGTTTGTTGCAGTGTTGCACTTTAAAAGCACTGTGATTAGGCTTGCCAAATTGGGACAATATCAATTTTAACCTCATTCTGTTTCTCGGATGGGTGCAACTGTGTGCCAAATACCTTAAAAAACTCGTTGCTTACTAGCGTAGACAGAATTTCGCCAATTATCTTCGGCGATTCTCTGAACACCGTACACGCTACAAAAAGTTTTATCCCCTAGGTATCTAAAGGGATATTAAGTGATTGAATTGATGGACGTAGGTTTATAAATCATATATTTTTCTTTGAAAGACAGTGGCGAACCGATAATGTATTAAACAAGGACAAGATTCTTAAAATATTTTAAATGGCACCAGAAGAGCGATTCAAATGCATACTACATAACAAATGTAATTTTTTATCATACACGAAGATTACAAAAAAAAACTACTTATTGTTTCCAGTAAATCGGATGATCTGAAAGTTTTTAACTGCAAAAAAAATTCTACGTCGGAATTTTATTTTCCATTACCATTTTTTCGGCTTTTCACATTTTATTCGAAATTTTGAAGGCCCAGAAGTAAAACGTACCCCAGATTCGGGTTCAGCTGGTTGAATTGCATGTCGGTCGTTGTTATTGTGGCAGTTATAACAACACCGCTCAGTTCGGTTAGTAACTCAGTCGTTGTCGTGAAGCTCAACTAATGGAAGTCCCAAAAAGCGTGCAGTCTCAATGGGGTCTGTCCACATAGACAAAGGCGTTAGTTGTGTGAGATTTTCTGGGCATACGAAGAGATATTTCGAGTCGTGGGTTGTCTCTCCGCATATCGGACACTCATTTGGCACATCTGCAGCTAATCTGCTCAGGTATGAGTTTAACCTGTTGCATTAGCCAAAACGAAGTTGGGCTCTTGTGGTTCTAGTCTCCCGTGGCAGACGAAGCTCCGTCAGTTCATATAGATGCATTCTGACGTGTCTTGGCGAGGGCTCCTCTGCAAGCAGGTGTCTGTTCGGGTGTCCACGTATGTGGCTCCCTACTAGAAAACGCTTGCAGAGCATACGAAGATATGTAAATGCGAAGAACAAAGCGAAGTTGAATGCGAAAGCGAAGACGAATAGCAAGAAGAATATGAACACCAGCACTACGATGAAGAAAAATACAAAGACAAACACAAAGATGAATGTAGATAGATATAGATAAAGACAAATACGAAGTCGAATACGAATCCGAAGTCGAATGCGAAGACGAAGGCGAAGTCGAGTAAATTAATACCGAGACTAAAGTTAATATTAAGATTAATACAAATTTCTGCTTCTCCTTTTTTACCGCGGCAATAAAATGTATTTTTTTTATGCTGTGCACCTTTGGTTTTTGGTTAAGTTGGTGCGCAGGAATCTTCCAAGGATAGGCTCTTAGGCATAAGCAACAAAAATGCAGACGGTTCAACATCTATATCGCAAACTCACGAATTAAATACTCCAAAGTAAACTACATATTGCTTTCATGCTTTCATCGTCATAACAGCATGCCAAGCAATTCTCTTACCAATATGTAACTAACTAACCCAAACAAACACCTCTTTGCACATATTTATCCCACACAGAAATTAGAGCAGACCGTAGCAGGTAATGCACGTCTCGAGCAAGAATTGATTGTGTTGCGCCAGAAACTACAGGCCTCCCGCGGTGCTCGCGGCTCCCAAGGGGCACTCACAAACGGCGCCACAGATAGCTTTGCCAGCAACACAACCGCCATGCTGGAGTCTGAACTGAAGCGCGTGCAAACACTCGTAGGCGACATGCAGCGACAGCGGCAGGAGCTGAGTTCGGCCGTACGTCAGTTGACGGAGAACTCCAGTCGCCTGTACCAGGAGATCGGCAATAAGGAGAATATCGCCGCAAGCGGAGCGCCTGACACGCCACAGAAGAAACGCACAAACTCCGCCTCGTGGCAGGAAACCGATCTGGATTCGATGCTGAGCATCACTCATACGATGGACGACGATGCTACGATCAACTTGTCGACGCCTTTGTATGTGGACACCAAATTGAACGACTACAACCACAGCGATGATATGCAACGTTTGATGGTCGAAAATGGCGGAGTTGGTGGCGCTTATCGCTACAATGATGTCAGCGACAATTTGGAGACAAGTGGAGTAGACAGCGATGGTTTTTTGGAATCAAATCCCTTTGCGAACCTCTCCAATCAAGAGAAGCAGGAGATCAAAACGGTGCGCATAGTGAAGCGTGAGTCGGAGCGACGACATCGCGATCGCAGTGAACGCAGTGGCCTAAGCAGCTCAACGCAGAATCTCGATCAGGTGCTGGAGGAGGAGCAACAGCTGATGAGTAGTAATGCTATTAGTGGCGTTAGCGGGGTCAGCGGTGTCGGTGGCGGCGGCGCAAGCGGCGTTGGCTACCAGCACATGAACGGCACAGCCAGTGATTATCAAAGCAGCGTGCGGTCGAAGTCATTGCCGCGCAGCTACAATGAGCCACCAACAAGCGGCAAGGTGCGACACCATCACCACCAGAGTAGCAAGCATAGCAGCAAGCAAAATGGGCATCATGGCAGCGGCAACAAGCCGGATGATTACTACGGCAGAAACTACGATAAGAACAGTAACTATGCTAGCTACCAGCTGAGCAATGGTGGTGCCGGCAGCGGCAGAAGTGGTGCTGAGCGACGCGAGCATCTGAACCCACTGGCCAATGCATACTTCGCCAAGCAGCTACAACAACAGCAGCAACACCATCACGGTCATAGCCGTGAATCATCACAGCACGCGTTGCGCCAGAAAACCGACTCGATGCAGAGCTTGAACAAGAGCCTCACCGATTTGAGTCCTGACCCTGTGTTCCAGAGCGAAGCGGCGCGGCAAATTATCAACGAACTGTCGGCCGGCTCGGCGTCGGAGGACAACACAGAGAAGGTGGTGGAGAAAGTGCCATCGCAGCATAAGCATCGACGTGCGGTGCCACGTGAGAAGCGACGCCACTACACGGCGCCCAATAATGTCAATGTGAAGGCGATGGAGAATGTGCAGGCAGAAAATGATATGAATCGCAATGTAAGTGAAGGAAATGATAACCTCAAATAGAGTGTTTTGCAGTTAAAAAAAAAAAAAAAAACTTGTAATATTTTTCAGAACACTAACTGGCGGGCTCGTGATGATCTGGATATGGATTTGGCATTACGGCCACGCATGAATGCTCCAGATGTGGTACGATCCGCTTTGGGACATGGCGAGAAAATCTCGGAGAACACAATCGATAATTTGCTGTTGGCTCCGAATAAGATCGTTATACCGGAGCGCTACATTCCGGAAAAGGTAATTAACTACAGAGTTATGAAACTAAGTTATAAAAAAAAAATTTGTTTGCCATATATTTTAAAATTTTGAAAAGAAGTGTCCTTAAATTTACAAAAAATCTGTCTGCAAAATAGCAAAATATGTATAAGTGTAACTTTTAGCGACGGCTAAATATATTTGAGGCTAACCTCTGGATAGAAACAAGAAACGTCCTTCTGATTGAAGAAAGTGTCGCGTGCAGTATGTAATACTTCCTAGTCAACAAGGACAGTTCCGTCTTATAGCGAGTTCAACGTTCGGAGACCACTTAGGTTGTTAAGTTCATGTGCGGAAATTTAGGCATCACTAAAAGCGGAACGTCAGCAACATAGAAAATCTCCCAACATCCTCTCTCTCTAGCTTCTCATTTAGATATGGGACAGGATAGCCATGAAGACGTGAATACAAAAAAATTGCCTTATTTACGATTTTTTTTTTGTAAAACGTTCCGTCGTACATTAGAGTGTACCACTCTTCCATGCCAAAAATTTTTAAAACTTCCGCCAAATTATTTCGAAAAATATTGGGATTTACGTGAGCTGACCCGATTTAAAAATATCTCCGAAAATCCCATTATTTCGGTTCCGTTCATGTCAATCAAATTTTTAAACAGACCTTTTACAAACAAAAATACTTTTTTTTTAGGTGTTTTCAAATCGTTCCAGCACATGTAAATCTTAATGTTTTCCCGTCATATTTTGGTGGGCGTTTTAAAATGTTATATATTGTTTAATTCCGGTGCATACTCCGATTTTTTATTTTTTTAATGAGACGCCCTAATGTAATATATATATATATTTTTTTAATTTCAGACACCAGAGCTATCACCTGAAGAAAAGAAGCGCCGCCAAGAAAAGGTGGAATCCATCAAAAAAATGTTAGCCGAGGCGCCCATTAGTTCGGCAAACGTAAGTACCGCTAAAGCAGTGAAAAGTATTTTAGAAAAAAAAAAATAATGCATATACTCCATATTTCACGCTGTAGGACACAACTGTCAGCCTACCACCGAGCAAAATCAATGCGGAAAAGAAACAACGTGAGCATTTATTACAACTCAATCAAATTTTGGCACAACAAGTCATGCAAATGAGCAAAATCGTAGCTGGTAAGTGAGAATAAATGCAAGAATTTTCATGTTCATTTGATATCAATTAAATAAATATTTGCGTTCAAATTTATGTTTTTCTGTGTAATTGTTGGTAATTTTTGTATTTGCGTTAAAAGTAAGATTGAGTTGTGTTTCAAAAAAAAAAAATTCTAACATAAATTCAAGTTTTCATTAACACATCTACTTATTTGTAAATGTACATTATGTTGCTGTTTGCAATTATCTACACTTTGTTTTCCTACTAACCAATTCGTAATTGCTCATCCACTTTTGTTTATGGTTTGGTAAATGTTTGCATCTTTTTTCTGTTATCGCCATTGAAATTAGTATATTCGCTATTCTTATTTTTATTTTTTTTTTGTTTAGTTTTCTTGTAATTTATACTCCATTCGAAATTCGAAACATCAACAAAAATCAGTAATCCATTCTATTGTACTTAAACAAACGCTATGTGCTCTCGTTCTAATCTTGAAATCTGTATATTTTTCTTTTTTTTCAAATTCTGATTTTCTAGATGATAATTGAATATCATTTACATGCAAATGCATTTGTATGAATAAGCGTTTCGCCAATAAATACCAAAAACTTTCTTATGAAAAAAAAAACAAAATCACAAACTCATGTCAATCATCACCATCACCATCACCATTTCATCATTCCATGTCATCTTAATGGCCTTTCTAGCGCATCACCTCCATCACCTTTGTAGTAATCAGTATATCAGTACATCTTTGGCAATCACGCATCGTATCAACCTGTAGATTTGTCTCACAGCCAGTTACTATGTATATCCCCCAAACACTCAAAATGTAAACTTAAAGCATTTATACACTTTTTTACTCACCCATTAGTGTAATGACCTCACTGCATAAGCACATTCACCATTTCCACATTCGAATAAAACACATTCACCCTTTCATTGTTCATATTTTACTAACTTTCACCCCCCAATGATCTATGCTGGTTGATGTGTATCAAATGAATAAAATAAAGTTTAACCATTTCACTTTCACAAAAATTATGTACTTGTACATTCTTAATTACTTAAGTAGTGTAATCACAGTCACAACATTTATACGCAAAACCATCAAAGCTGTCACCTTGCACTCAAACATTCGACCAATCGAAATTTGTTTACACTTATTTTCCTTAGTTTTTAAATATTCTAAATGTTTCATCCTTAAATAAATAAGTTGTTTTAAATGTAAATATAGAGATATGTATTTTAAAGATATTGCGTCTCTCTTCTTCTTTCTCCGTGTCGTTCTATATGGGATCTGTGTGTTATTTCTTTTCATGTGACTATTGATTATAAATAGAATGTTAAAAATGTTATACATAAGTGAGCAAAATACCGTCAGTAGGCCTATCAATATTTGGGGAATTCACACAGCATTCGCTGCTAGCTTCTCTTTTTGCCAAAATTTAATAAGTTTTGGCTCAAACTTAAGTGATTGTTGATTTCTCACTTTTTTGGAACTTTTATGTTATTTTATCTTCATAGTGCTTACCCTGATATACTTGGCAGGTCTAGAGAAGACTCAGAGTTGTATGGCAAATAGCATTAATTTAATTTAAGAAAACAGGCTAAAACAATTAAAAGAAGGTTGACTTTAATATTGAACCAAAAATAAAGAGAAAATTGTGGCTACTTACATAGGTTTATGTACCTTAACAAACTTCCTTATTTATATATTTGTTTTTTTATTTTTTTAGAAAAAATTTTAATAAACTAGTTAAACGAGTTAAAGTGATATTCATTCAAACGCTTAACAATTTGTAGGCCAGGTCTTTGAAATTTTTAATAAAACTTTTGAAAAAGGCAAAAATGCTATGTAAACTGGTAACGATAACATAGAAAACTTACCTCGGCAGTTGGACGGATTAGGGTACTATGAGGAATGTTTTACCAAAATGTTTACAAAAAAAGTGATCCACTTAAGCGAGTTACGTGGTTAAGTAGGTATATGCTCTTCGTCATTTGAAAAGCGCACCCTTTTAATCCTTAGTATTTACAGTTTTTCTGTCTACCAAAAAATGTTGCCCTTTCATTGCCCCCTTTGAACAAACGCTAATGACAAGGCAATGAAAAGGCAACATTTTTTGTAGAAACGAAAACGCCATAAAATACATATACTTAATACTAACCTATTTCGGATATTCGGGGCCCTTCTAAAAGGGACTTATTTTTGAGCTCATAATTAAAGTTACGACTCAGAATTCTGAGACTTTTCTGACTCTAAAATGAGTCCGATTATTAAAAGGGATGTCTCAAATGTTTTTATATTGAACGGAACATAGTATTTGTGTCTGGAAATTCAAAAAAAAATATATATATTTTCAGACTATGAAAATGAATTGTATGCTTTCTGCCCAATACCATCGCTGTAGATTATCGCTAGAAGATTTTTGTTTCAACCACCACATACAGCGTTGCGTCGTATAGTCCCATTGCTGTTTCATTTTTTTTTTTTTTTTTGTTAATACTGAATTCTTTTTATTGAATATTTTTTCCGGTCGCCATTGGTCTCATTTTGTATTTATTGAAAATGAAGAAAGAATTTTAGCTGTCATTCAAAACTTATTTAAATAAGTCTAATCAAAAATTCATACATATTTCATGCTGTAAAATTTAAATAAATAAAAGTAAATTGGTAATGGGAACATGACATTAATAAGGACACAAACCATTTTGTGATGGTGTAAAAAACTTAAAACAAGCTTTTCTAATGCTTCATGAAAAAACTTCAATTTCTCTGGTTAATCAATACGAATTGTAACACTTTCGTCGCTGTAAATATTTTCCAAAGTAATTTCTAAAAATAATTATTTTGATCGTATTTTTATATTTTGTATTTTATGTTTTTATTATTTATTTGTTATATTATTTGACAATATTTTTGTTGCATTTTATTTTTATTTTTTTATTTTTAGGTAACCCAAATAGCCAAACTAATTTGAAATAGGTTGCCGTATGTTGCGTTGTTGTTGTTCGCGATGGTGTGTGTGTATTTGAGAAGAAAATTGCCATGAACCGTCATTATGATTCTTTTCTTGAATTTTGTTTCGAAAAGTACAATCTGCATTTATTTCAAGGATACAAGCTGCATTTAAGTAACGCCATATGTGCCTCAACATTTTTTTTTTTTGTTATTTAAAACTTTTTGTATAATTTTGCTTGTTTACACGACCAAGTCGCTTCAAACATACTACAAAACATATATACATACATACCTCCTAAATATTCAATACATAATGTAAATACACAAACAAACATAGCATCATACTCACATAAAAAATTATCGAAATAAATATAATCATACCACAACAAAATTTGTCCCGACCAAATTACATCAAATGCACACATATGTACTTACATACATACCTCCATACATACATACATATGTATAAATATACATACTATAATTATGCATAAACATAAATATATGTGCATTTACTGGTACGAAAACTTTGAAACTCGATAAAAAAAAAACCTAATCGCAAGTGCTAACAGCTAGCTAGCACACCAAATGAATGATACACGCAACAATGCCGCTGGGAGATAAACGCATGAATATCTCGCAGAATCGTTTGTTCCGAATACTAAAAAAAAAAACAAAAATAAAAACATAAGCTACTAAATTTAAACTTACCACTGCATTGAGAGCAAGCAAGTAAAACATAAATTAAACAACAACTACTATTACAACTACAACAATTGTACAACAACATTTACCACAACAACAACAACAATAAGAACAACCAGAACCAAAACAACAGTGACATCAACATGCACCAAAAGGTTTGTATACAACTCCCATTTACTGCTATGTACTACTTACTACCTACTACTAAATACTTAACTACTACTTTTCTGCTGCTATTATTAATACTCTTACTATGATTGTATGTAATTGTTTTGAATTTGCAGTTACTATAAATTAAAAAAAAAAAAAATATGAATTTATTTTCGTTAATTTAACATGTAATGTTTTGGACAGATTTGATAGTTATACATATATGCATACATCAATGGCTCGAATTTACTTACATGCGTATGTATGTATATTAATTAAGATTTTATAATTGTCGCTTGAAATAGGCTACTTATAATATGTATATTTATTTTTTATGTTCATGCCCTATTTATTTTTTTATTTTTTAGTTTTTTTTTCGTATACAATATCAGTTTTTGAAATTCCTATTCTAAGGTATTTGAAAATTTCAAAATTTTTGCAAAATCACTAGTTTAGCACCGAGCAAGCACCTCCAAGTGGCTGACCAGCGCCACAGTAAATTACACAACTACATATTCGCACATGAATTTTTGCTCAGCACCCAACGAGTAATGGCCAGCATGTGCTGCACTCATTGTCCGTTGCTAATATCACCGGCCGTTTGCAAATTTTGAAGTTTTAAAAGAAGAAGAATAGTAGTAGGACTTAAGAATAACAAGCACATATTTTACATTAGCTTTAGTGATTTTTTGGTAGACAAAATTTGTAAGTCGACATTTTCTTTAAAAGTTATCAATCCGATATTATTTCATTTAGTTAAAGATCTAGCCAGTAAAGAAAAAAATCGATCAATCAAAATATAATTTTAACCTCAACCGAAGTTTCGTTGAAAAGGTGTCCAACAAAAGCAAAAATAATTAAACGTTGCGAACTAAACCGACCCGAGTTCATGAGAAAAGCTGTCCAACTCGAATCAAACCCTTGATTGAAACGTTTTTCCAGTGTAGCAGCCTCAGAGGCTGTTGGCAAACCTGTAACCAAATGATGTGTTTGCGCCCATCATCCAGCATTTCTAGCGAAACAAATGAAATGATACTTAGTAGACTGATTTTGTACAATAAAATAGGCCGAAACCCGCTTTTTCGTTAACTTTCTGACAGTTTGGGACATCGGCGGTGTATAAGATGCTCTAAGCTTTCCCTGGCCTCCCGTAGTGAGAGCCGTTTTTTGAGCATGAGCAGCAAGCGGATATTTCCCCTA